TACGATGTGCAATATATGTTGTGCAATCTATTTGGTGCAAATCTAGGCGGAACAATCTGTGTGTTGCACACTGTGTGGCGCGATCAACGTGATGCAGTCAGCGTATGTTGTGCAATCTGAATGGTGCAGTATGTGTGATGCAATAAATGCAATGCAAACTATGCGGAACTGTCTCTGTGATGCAACCAACGCCGTGCAATCTGCGTGGTGCACTATGTATATATGTATGTATGCTGCACTCGATATGGTGCCAACCATGTGAAACGATCTTGATGGTGCAAACTATGCTTTGCCATCTGCGGGGTGCAATCTATGTGGTGCCACGTTTATTGTGTAGGGTTTCTTTCGCAATCTATGAGATGCGATATGTGCGATGCACTCTATGTGGTGCACCCAATGCTGTGCAATCTATGTGGTGCAACTGATTCCTGTTAGCAGCGGGTTGTCAACTCCACTGCTCGTGCAATTTCCCCACCCACCCACCCACGACTTGGTTTGCTCAACCCATGCGGCGGCGATTGTGATGAGTGCTTGGAGTTGGCTGGTGCATCTCTGCGGCCGCACTGGCCCGCGCATGCTCGCGCGCGCAGCGGCCAGCTAGTTTGGCGCGACCGACGCGGCCGCGGTGGCGCTGACCGCTGGGCACCTCCCAACAGGCACTCCAATGCGAGTCGGCGACTTGGACGGACACGGTACCATGGCAACGGCGACAACGGTAGACACCCTGATGATCGTCGCGATGCTGGTTGCGATGGTGACAACGACGACGGCGCAGCCAGTGACGGCGCCGATGCTGATCACGCCGACGACGATGACAGCGTCCCCGCGTCGGTGGTTCAAATTTCGGAAGAAGTTCGACATGCGCGCGCGTGGCCAACGCGCGAATGTGGCCTGCATGGTTTTGTGTGACACGGGTCGTGCCCACCCCCAACACGCGGGGAAGGGCGTTCGAATGATTTCGACATGCGGCGAAGGAGGCCAGCTTGGCAGAATGCCATGAACATGTTGAAAGCATATGCTTGTTCTGAGAATTCGCAGGGGCGCGCGTACAGTTTTTTCTGGTTGAAAACTGTTGTTGCAAAACCATGCGTGTTTTATATATTATCGGGGCACTCGATTTTGAAATTCATGCGAAACGCAAGGTTATCTGAGGATGTCGGCATGCAGGCGCGACGACGCGCGCGTGTACACTTCGTCAGGATTTCTGAAAGGGATTCTTGCGACAGCACGTGCGCCAGAGGCCCGTTTGGTAGTATGTCCTGGGTTGTGTTGTTGTTTATGGTTTCTTGCGCGGGCGCATCCTTTTTATTGACAACTCTTGTTGCGAGACCATGATTTTATACAACACAAATGTTTCTGAAATCCGTTCGACACCTACGTTTTTTGAATGAGTTCGGCATGCGCGCGCGACGGACCGCGCGTGCATTTCGTCCCGCTAGTTTGCGCGCAATCTGAAACAAACAATAATTTGTGACAAACGAATGTGCGCAACCTCTGCAGAGGATGAAGGCGGGGGGTACCGATTTAGCTGGGATGATTTTCATTCATATCTACGGTGGACGATGGGGCAGAATCGTATGCAAATTGCATTCGGCAAAGGGGGACCTTCAATTCCGTGCGGGGTAGATCCTAATACTCTATAAGAAGGGAGAATCCATGTGGAGCAATATCTGTAGTGCAATCTGTGTGGTGCCATCTATGTTGTGCTATCGAACGGCGGCGGCGAGTGGCGTTGGCAGCAACGGCGGCCACATAGCCGCCAGACCGAATACACGGCCCAGACGACGGGCGGAGCCGAGGCGGCGACGGGGCGGTGACGGTGAGAGTATAGCCGCCACCGACGACACGGCTCAGATCCTTAGAGCAGGAAACGGAACCCCAACGACCAAGCACGACTCTGGGAATTTCTCCGTCGAGTCTACGAAAAGTGTGAAGGATGCTCGTGGGTTGACGAAGGCTCTTCGTATTCTCGCTGATTCGACAAGCACTTCAGCTTTGGGGTAACTCCCTTCTGTAGTCGATCTCCCACTCGAATTAACGGGCGAAGAACGGTATAAATTAACTTTTTCGCTGTCGGGGGCGCCTGTCCCTCGGCGGCTGGAAAGCTTATACCCTTACGGTGGCACCGTAGGGGGTATAAACTTTCCAGCCGCCCAGGGACAGGCGCCCCCGACAGCGGAACAGTTTATTTTATACTCCAGAGTTCGTAACAAAAGGGAGGGGGTCTGGACCCTCCAAGACAAGCCATTTCAGACCCCCCCTCGTGGGAGAACCCTCCAAAACATCGTCCCCAGACCCCCCCAGGCCCTCCAAGATGGCCTGGAAGAGACCCCCCCCGAAATGAGACCCCCCTCCCTTTATTACGAAATCTGGAGTACCGTTCTTCGCCCGCTGATCGAAGGGCTCGCACTTAGGCGCAGAGCGCCAGCGCCGCGGCCGCGGCCCGCAGAGCCGCGGGGAGGCGCGCTGGGCGCGCCCGGCCGCGGGGGGGGGCGCGCGGGCTCCAGCAGGCCATCTGCCGCAGGGGCGACGAGGACGAGGACGAGGACGAGGACGAGGACGACGACGAGGACGACGACGAGGACGACGACGAGGACGACGACGAGGACGAGGACGACGACGAGGCCTGAGCCAAAGGCTGCGCGCTGCTGGCAGCACAGGGCACCCGCACGCCGGCGCCGCGGCGCGCCGCGGCGCGGCGAGCGGCGGCACGGCGGGCTCCGGCTCTCGTGTTCCTGGCCTCGGCACGCGGAGGCTCTTTTTGTGCTGCACGTCGATCCTAGGGGGGGAACAAACCTACCTCGCTTTTGACCACCCTCGCTTCCAGGAGATACCAAGCGATGCCAAACTACGGCCTGTACTGGTCAGGCCGCTTGACGAGGAGGCGCGTGGTATGACTTGGTTTTTCCTGGAAGCGAAAGCGGGGTAGGTAATCCACGCTCTGAGATCCAAGCTCCTCAGGCTGCCCGTGGCGAGTGCCGCGATCGCATCTCTTCGCGTGAGCGGGAAGCCTGAAGAGTCGAGGAGATGCGCATCAGCGTGCGGCACAACCAGGACCACGAGTGTGTTGTCTAGGTGTGTCGCTCACGTCTGCGCTTGCAAGGGACTACTATGGACACCGAGCTAGGCCGCGCAGCAAGTGCGCGGAGTTGTGGCGACAAGCGGGACTCTGTGTGCCCTTCGGCAGCCTCTAGGGTCGCTTTGGGCGGGGATCAGGTCGGGGCACCACCAGCACAGACCAATTCAAAGCATAACCATGCAATAGATGTAGCACATTTGCAAAAGTAGGCTGGCGAAGGACCCGACCATACGCATGTGTGAGTCCCTATAGGGGCCACGAAGCGTGTGAGAGATGAGCCAGAAAGGGTGCGGCGGGCGCATGCGAACGCAGCCGCTGGGGCCTTCGGTGTAGCTCCCTATGAGGCCACGAAGCGTGTGAGGGGCGTGCCGAAATGGGTGCGGTGGGCGCATGCGGACGCAGCCACTGGGGCCTTCGGTGGAGCTCCGTATGGAGCCACGAAGCGTGTGAGGGGCGTGCCGAAATGAATGCGGCGGGCGCATGCGAACGCAGCCACTGGGGCCGTCGGTGGAGCTCCTTATTCGGCCACGAAGCGTGCGATGGGTGTTCCGAAAAGGGTGCGGCGGGCGCATGCGAACGCAGCCGCTGGGGCCTTCGGTGGAGCTCCCTATGCGGCCACGAGAACGTGTGAGGAGTATGCCGACATGGGTGCGGCGGGCGCATGTGATCGCAGCGACTGGGGCCGTTGGTGGAGCTCCCGATGGGGCAACGAAACGTGTGAGGGGTGTGCCGAAAAGGGTGCGGCGGGCGCATGCGAACGCAACCGCTGGAGCCTTCGGTGGAGCTCCGTATGGGGCCACGAAGCGTGTGAGGGGTGTGCCAAAGTGATGGGGGTGACGGGAGAAGGGAGGAGAGGGGCAGGAGGAGGAGAGGAGAGGAACGTGGTGACCATCTCTTCAAAACGAGGACCCAACACCACAGGATGGTTGGGAAAACGGGGCAGCATCAGCACAGGCTCGTCCCCTTCTCTCTCCAGTTCCCACACCTCCTCTTTCTTCCTTCTAAAGTGGTCTCCCCCTCCTCCTCCCCTGCCGCCCTCTCCCTCCTCCGCCTCCCTCTTCTCCCCTTGGCCCCCCCTTCGGTGGCAACTCATGGGAGCCTACCATACCATCTTGTCGGCTCTTGCGAATCGACGCCAATCGACGGCAGTCGACGTCAACCGACGGTAAATCGACGCCAATCGGCGCTGACCGACGCGAAAGCGACGCTACCTCAACGACTCCCACACGCCAAGCGACACTAATCGACGCTACAGACTTGGGCGCCCGAGTTATCCGGGGTAACTCGGGTCCGGGGTAACGCGGGTTTGGATTCCCGAAAAACGAACCCGAATTAGCCCTGACCCGAATTACCCCTGATGATTTGGGGCTCTGGACGCCCGAGTAATCCGGGGTAACTCGGGCCCGGGGTAACTCGGGTTCGGAATCCCGAAAAGCGAACCCGGGTTAGCCCTGACCCGAGTTACCCCTGATGATTCGGGGCTCTGACAGACGGCAATAAGAGGGTACACCGGGCTCCCAAGATTCGCTACCGTCGAGGCGTTGACCTCAGGAACCCTAAATAAGGAACGAGGCCCCTATTTTCCATCAGTTAAACTCCGATTTCGTATCGAAAGCCTGAGGACAACCTCAGGCAAGCTGCGAAACACTCAAGGAACACGGAGCCCCTCCCCAACGAAAAGGGTTCCTTCTTCAGGGCCCCGACTGTACACCGGGCTCCCAAGATTCGCTATCCCCCCCCTCCCTCCCTCCGGGGGGGCTGAAAGAAGCTTTCTCAAGGATGAGCCAAGAAACTCGAAAAAATACGTTTTTCACTTTTTTCCCCAAAATTGTTCCTGCAAGTCTTTTGATAGTAATATTGCAGCTGCGGACCTGAGAATTGCACTGACGGCGCGCGCCGCGTCCGCGCACGGGGGGCCCGCCTGGTGCCCCCGCGGACGCGCCCGCGTCGCCGCCGGCGGGGCCGTCCGCGGCGGGCGGCGAGGACAGCGCCTGGGGTCGACTGCGGAGCACGGGGCACCTCTCCCGCTCCCCTCTCCTCCTCCTCCTTCTCCTCCTCCTCCCCCTCCTCCTCCTCCTCCTCCTCCTCCCCTTCCTCCTCCTCCTCCTCCTCCCTCCTCCTCCTCCTCCTCCTCCTCCTCCTCCTCCTCCTCCTCCTCCTCCTCCTCCTCCTCCTCCTCCCTCCTCGTCCTCCTCCTCCTCCTCCTCCTCCTCCTCCTCCTCCTCCACGGGGCACCTCTTCCGCTCCCCCCTGAGACGAAGCCAGGACCTCGCCATCGCTCGGACGTCCATTCCCTGTGTTTTTTTGTCGGTTTCGTGCGCGGTTTGTTTCGCCAAATGATCGAGGATGCTCCTCGATGGTCCTCGCTGAAGGAAAAAGGCACACGCGACGCCAAGGGACGAGGATAGCCGCCCTCCTCTCTTCAGCACGAAAAAAAATTGGTACCTGAGGAATACGGGTCAGGGTCATACAGTCGGGGCGTTGACCTAAGGAACCCTAAATAAGGAACGAGGCCCCTTTTTTCCATAAGTTCAACTTCGATTTCATATCGAAAACCTAAGGAAAACCTGAGGCAAGCTGCGAAACAATTAAGGAACGCGGAGCCCCTCCCCAACGAAAAGGGTTCCTTCTTCAGGGCCCCGATTGTGGTCGCTGGGGCTCTCGCCAGGGCCAGCTTTGCAGCCAACCACTCTTCGACGATCCCGCGGCATGTCGGCGCAGTTGAGCCCGTTTTTCTTCGTAGCTCACCTACCGATCACTGATGATGTGATGTTCTCAATCCGGAGGTGTTCTTCGGCTTCGGCTCTCAGGGACCGTTCTCGGGCCCAGGGACCGTCAAGCGTGGATCTGCGACGAAAGACGACCCCCCGGGAAGCGGTTGGGAACTCTGGGGCCGCGGATTGAACCAATCTGCGACCTACGGCGACGGTTGGGACCTCTGGGGCCGCGGATTCAACAAGTCTACGGCAAATTCGCGTCGTGTCGGCCCCGGCGTTGGTTTCTGACACTGCCGGGATCGTTCAACCTTGAACGGTCGGTCGCCGGAGGCTCCCAACGTTGAACGCCAGCGGCGGGGTCGCCGCCAGTCGACACGATAACCCTGTGCTCCCAAAAGTGATCCCTGGGGATAATAAAGTTCGGGGGTCTGGCGGGGATAATCAACGATTTTCCTGGCGAAGGTGATGTTATGATGGTGGTGGTGATGATGATGATGATGATGATGATGATGATGATGATGATGACGATGATGATGATGACGATGACGATGAAGATGACGATGACGATGTTGTTGATGATGATGATGACGATGATGCTGATGCTGATGATGATGATGATGATGATGATGATGATGATGATGATGATCCTGGGCGCTCGCGTAACCTGACCTTGTAGATCTCGGCACAAGACTGACTCGGCGTCTGATCAAGTTCGGCCTCCACGCCTTCTCCACAATTGAATCCTATTGACACGGGGTACAAATAGAGGGGGGCAAGGGAGGGGGTATGATTTATTATCGGGGGCACAGGGTTACAAACCTGCCTTACGTGAACTGATTCGCTGACCGCCCCATTACTGCAAGACGAAGCAAGGACAATGATAAAATCGAGGAAAGATAAATCGGGAATCTCTGAGATGCGGCGGCTCTGGAAGATGCCTCGGGCGCCGCGGCGTTCTCAGAGCGTTCCGGAACGCTCTGAGTGCGTTCCAGAACGCTCTGGATCGGATTTATCCTCGCCCCAGCCCCGCACCAGCATCTATTCGCGAAGCCGGATCGTAATCGGAATCGCATCGAATATTTTTGGAATCGGTGTTTAGACCGGCGACCGCCGCATCGGCTCGGAAGTCGTAAACCGGAAGCCGGAGCAGAATCGTTCGCGGAAGGCAGGAGCCGTTCGCGGCACGCAGGCAGAGGAGGGGAGGAGCCCCGACGGCCGCAGCAGCAGGCAGGGGAGGGAGGAGGAGCGCCCGCGACAGTGGGCGGAGGAGGAGGAGGAGGAGGAGGAGGAGGAGGAGGAAAAGGAGAAATTGGAGGAGGACGAATCCGGTTTGGTCCAGTCGGATCGAACGAAGACGAGGGGGCCCCTTGTCGTCGTCCTGTGGGAGGAGGTCGGTGTTCCAGCGCTATAAGCGGAGTCCTGGCGTGCAGCAGGGACCAGAGAGCAGTCGCACCAGGGCTACGGCTCGGAGGCACGTGTCCCGTCGACCTGGGCCAAGAAAGGGGGCCAATGCGCGATGATCATAAGGACGAAGAGGGAGGACACGTGGGTCAATGCGAGGAACGGAGGAGGAGGAGGAGGAGCAGGAGGAAGAGGAAGGAGGAGGAGGAGAAGGAGGAGGAGGAGGAGGAAGAGGAGGAGAAGGAGATGGAGGAGGAGGAGGACCAGTATAAACACAAGACGCCTCAACGAGGCTGCAATAAGCCCTCCCTCAAAGCTTCCTGTTCATAGGTCCCTGCAAAGTTTGCTCCATTGCGGGGAGTGCTCCATCGGAAAACAACCATCTGAGAATCTTGAGCCATCCAAAAACAATTATTCACACTTCAACGCCGCGAATCAACGTAACTGTTCAACCCTACACCGTGCCAGAACACTTGTCCTGGAACGCCAACACTGAAATTCAACGTGGCAGTTCCACCTGATAACCCTGGATCGCACCTGAACGCAATTTTGGGAACTTCTCATACATATATTTATATATGAGCATATTTTCATATATTCATATAAATCTGTAGATCCGTATACACAGCAAGCCGTGCAACTGCTGTACACTGTTGAAACGGATGTGCGCGGCACGGCGCTGAAGCGAACGCCACATGTTCAACAGGAACCGCCCTCCAACCTTGAAGCCGCTGCGGGCTCTGAAGACACATGTGCGCGGAGATGGAAACCGATCGCCGCATGCTGTAGTACACGGCCGCCCTCCATCCTTGATACTGCTGCAGGCCAACAAAAGAGTGTGCGCACCGCTCGAGAAAGAGCCGCGTTTTCAAATCGACCCGCCCTCCCTCATTGAAATTGGTGCAAACATTCCAGACGACTGTGCGCGGTGCTAAGGTGATCGCAACAGTTTTAAAACGACCCGCCCTCCATCCTTGAAGCTGTTGCAATATTTTGAAACAACTGTGAGCGGCGAACAAGCGAGAACCACGTTTCGAAAACGATCCGCCTTCCATCCTTGAAGCTGTCGCGGAACGTAAAGGCTTCAGCAAGATAAGTGGTGAGGTGGTCTCAGGGGAAACGCCCTGCCCGCCCTACCGACCTGACATGTCTGGGGGTGCGACAGGGAGTTTTTTACAAGGAAAACCACGGAGGCGGAGGAGGACAAGGCGGAGGAGGAAGAGCGGAACGGGGGTATGAAAACGAGGAGGATGGCGAGGGAGGATGGACCACGGAGGATGATGATGATAGCAGGGATGGGGTCCTCCAGTCACCATCCTCCCCCTCCAACTTTTTTTTTTCCTCCCCATCCTCCTCGATCCCCCTTCCCTATCCGCCACCATGCCGCTGAGCACGGAGTGGGCGTGTCCTCAGATCCTTTGTCTAATCCCGCAAGCCTCAATCGTCAATCCTGAAGTTTGATTTTAAGGGCCTGGACCCCTAATCGATAAATCTCTCGGTGCTTCCCGCGTGGCCGGGGCGTCATCCCGCATTGCTTTTTCGGGCCCAAGGTGGCTCCAAATTGTGCCAAGAGGGCCTCAAAGGCAGACGGCCCAGGAGGGCCCCGAGAAGCCCAAAGATCGCCCCAAGACGCCCAAGTTGGCCCCGAGACGGCCCAAGAAGCCTCCACGACGCCCCAGGAGGCTTACAAGAGGCCTCCCAAGAGGGAGCCAATACGCCAGCATCATTGAATTGTACTTTGTTTTTGAAGGATTTGGGCGTTCTTGCCTCTTCAGCTTCCCTACGCTCCCAAACGGTTTCAGAAGCCTCGAATAACACCCTAAGACGGCCCAAGAGGATTCCAAGGGGGCCCCAAAACAGCCCCACGGGGCCCCAAGGCGGCCCAGGAGGTCTGCAAGACGGCTGACAGATGCCCCCAAGACGGCTCCGAGGGGGGCACAGACGGGGGACACGAAAGGAAATTTCGAGCCCTTGGCCCCAAGAGGCCCTCAAGAGGCTCAGAAGGCCTCCAAGAGGCCCCAACGAGCCAAGAGGCCCCCAGGAGGCTCTCAGAAGGCCCCCGAGAGGCTCCCAAGAGGCGCCACAACTGCCCCCATGATGCCGAAAACCGTCCCCAAGAGGCCAAGATGACCCCAAGAAGCATCCCTGAGGACTCTGACCCAACATCCAGGCACGGTTGCGGGAGGGGCCGAAAACAATTCGACTGTAGAGGAATAACTCTCCTCTGTCGCCCCCCGACACGGGTGGGTAGGGCGGGCTGGCCGTTTCGCCTGACGCGTCCCCATCATGCATTGCATGATCCTAAACCTTCAAACGTGCAGCAATTTCAAGGATGGAAGGCGGGTTGGTGTCAAAATGCGGCTCTTGCCGTAGCACCGCGCACATTCGTCTTCAACGTTTGCAGGAGCTTCACGGATGGAGGGCGGGCGGTTTTCATAATGTGGCTCTCTCCGAAGCGCCGCGCACGTTCGCCTTAAAGTTTGCAAGAGCTTCACGAATGGCGGGCGGCTCCTTTTTCAAACTATGGCTCTCGCTTCAGCGCCGCGCGCATTCATACTAATAGATTATAGCTGTTTCAAGGATGCGTATGGTTGGCGTCCCATCAAATGTGTGCTGGCGCGGCTTAGGGTTGTCAAGGCGCGACAGTCACGTTGATTCGCGGTGGCGTTCCAGAAATTGCGTGCTGGCACGATTCGGGATAGTCAGGTCGCAACAGTAACGTTGATTCGCTGAGTGGCTGTCCCAGGAACGATGCTTTGGCACGGTTGTCGATGTCCTGACGGGCGTCTTCCAGCGGGGAACGCCTCGCAGTGCAAATTTATCTAGGTACCAATAACAGAATGAACTTGCAAGGAGGGTCGATTGCAACATCG